TGCGGGAGGGGAATGTGGGGGCTGGGCTGGGAGGAGGGGGCTGCTGGCCTGGGCAGGGGGAGCAGGCAGAGCCCACCTGGCTGCAGGGGAGACTCAGACGTGCTGGGCTGAGGGGGCCAGGCCTACAGGCTGTGCTGGTGTAACCCACACACCTAGGCTTTGTCTACACTGGCGCGATCTTGCGCCAGAAATATGCAAATGAGGCTAAGAGTGGAATATCGCAGAGCCTCATTTGCATATCTAATGAGCCGCCATTTTGCGGAAGAGGCTCTTGCGCAAGGAGAGTCTACACTGCCCCTTTTGGCGCAAGTAAACCCTCTTGTGCAATGCCGTTATTCCTGAAAATAATCAACGTAACAGCATTGCGCAAGAGGGTTTTTCTTGTGCAAGAAGGGGCACTATAGACGCTCCTTGCGCAAGAGCCTCTTTTGCAAAAATGGTGGCTCATTAGATATGCAAATGAGGCTCCGCGATATTCCACGCTTAGCCTCATTTGCATATTTCTGGCGCAAGATTGCGCCAGTGTAGACATAGCCCTAGCATGGTTACTGAGCTATGCAAGTGGGACCTAGACCACAGCAACAGCTAAGATCAAGAAACCTCTACAGCATGGGCTGGGAGCCAGGTGGCTTTTAGCTCAGAGGGTAGAGGCTCCTATACTCCATTTCAGAGGGCCCAGGTTCAAATCTGCCCAGTGGTAGTTACACTGAGTTCAATGCTCAATGAACCCTCCTGTGTGCCGCTGGCGGAGAGTCGCTCTGGTCTGAGAACAGGGCTGCACTAGTCCCCCTGCGAGTGGAGGCTCCAGGGGCCAGAGTGAGTGGGAGCTCAGAGAGGTGCAGTCCCAGGAGGTGGGTGGAGGGAGCTCAAACCCCAGGAGAGTGGCCTGCAAGAAGGAGCTGCAGCACTGGAGTTGCCCCCCAAGAAGGACCAAGAGTGGGCACAACCTGTGCCTCTGTGATAGGGTCACTGTGTAACCAGCTGCCCCACCCCAGAGGTAGCTGCATCTCAGTGCTAGGCAAGTGGTCCCTGCTGGGGAATATTATTTGTGGGTGTAGGGCCAGGTTTCCTCTGGCCCATGTTTGCAGAGCCTGGGGCAGGAGTGAGGGTATGTCTACACTACCCCGCTAGTTCGAACTAGCGGGGTAGTGTAGACATACCCCTAGGGATCAGGGCGGGCTGGAAATGGGGCATTGCCCAGGGACAGCTCTGGCACGTTACAGCACTTTGCTGGGTGACTGCAAGGCAGCAGCTGGGAATGATGCCAGGCCCCCTTGAACTTCCTAAACCTAACCTACCCCTACCCCTGGACTGGACAGGAAATGTCACCTCCTAGGGCAGGCAGGAAGGAACCACAGCTATAGAGGGAGGTGTGTGTGTCATGCACATGCACAGGGCCCTTGCTGGGTGCTGAGATGCCACAGTGCTTGCTGGGTGACTGCAAGGCAGCAGCTGGGAATGATGCCAGGCCCCCTTGAACTTCCTAAACCTAACCTACCCCTACCCCTGGACTGGACAGGAAATGTCACCTCCTAGGGCAGGCAGGAAGGAACCACAGCTATAGAGGGAGGTGTGTGTGTCATGCACATGCACAGGGCCCTTGCTGGGTGCTGAGATGCCACAGTGCCGCACACTGAGATGCAGGGCATGGTGGCTGGCTGGCTGCTATGATGTACAGCGCCCTACCACCCCCAGTCGCCAGCACTGAGCCAACAACTGAGCTCACAGAGCTCACAGCCTGAATCTCTTGCTGAAGCCTGGCCAATATCCCTCCCCTAATTTTTTCCATATATGTGCAGAATAAATGATATGTGCACCATGGCATATGGGGATGTGTATAGAAACACATGCTGCCAGTGGCAGGCCCTGTGGGTGATCTGCTAATCAGCTGGGCAGCATTTGAATTTCTCCTGAATGGCCACACAAGTGCCCAGCTTTCAGAGAACACAGGGCCTGGTCCCAGGCTTTGGACTAGGCTAGGCTCCCCGGCTGGCCAGGAGAGCTGCACACACGGGGGGTGAGGAGCTGGGGAGGGTGAGCGATTGCGGGAGGCTGACCCAATCCCATCCTAAGGGGTTTTGTGCTAATGGCAGCTGGGGGAAGAGGGCAGTGTTGTGTTAGGATCCCGCCATGTGTGACCTTATCATGTGTGTGTTCTCTGGGTGTGTCTGTGTGTCATGGTATATCAATGTGTCATGTAGTGTGTGTTTCTGTGCATTGTGCTGTGTGCATATCCGAGGTATATCTGTGTCTCATGCCATGTGCACTTCCCTTGTGTATGCCTGTGTCTTCTGCCATGTCCACATACCCCGGGCGTTAACATGTCTTATGCCATATGCATGTCTGGCATGTGTCCATGTTTTGTGCCATCTGTGCTTCACCCGTGTGTGGGTCCCCTTTGTGCCCCTGGGAGTGTCTATATGTTGTTTCTTGTGCGTGTTCCCAGACTGCCTGTGTCTCATGCTGTGTGTGGGTCCCCCATGTGTGCCTGTGTGCACATCCCCTCAGAGTGTCCATGTCTCGTGCTGGGTGCATGTCACCAATGTATATCTGTGTCTTGTGCTATGCTTGCTTCCCAGGTTTGTCCATGTCTCGTACCATGTGCATGCCCCCTGTGTGTGTCCGTGTCTCCTGCCAGAAGCGTGTCTCGTGTGTGTCTGTGTTTTGTGCCTGTCTGTGTGCACATTCCATGTATCCCTCCATGTGCCAAGCCATGTGCACATTCCCGGAGTTCCCGTGTGCTATGGCCTATATTGCTCTCTTGGGACTGTCCTTGTGTCATGCTATGTGCATGTCCCTCGTGTGTGTCCTTATGTAATGCCATGTGCACGTCACCCATGTGTGTCCTTGTGTCGTGCCATGTGCACATCCCCATGTGTGTCCTTGTGTTGTACTGTGTGTACATTCTGTGTGTCTTTCCATGTATCATGCTATTTGCACATCACCCAGATGTGTCCATGTGTCATGCCATGTGGGTGTCTCTCGCGTCTGTTTATTTGTTGTGCCATTTGTGCATCCCCTGGATCTGTCCGTGTCTTCTGCCATGTGTGCATCCCCGGGCATGTCCATGTGTCCTGCCATGTGCGTATCCCTCAGATCTATCCCTATGTCATGCCATGTGCATGTCCCCAGGGCATATCTGTGTATTGTGCCATGTGCATCTCTCGCATGTGTGTTTGTGTGTCATGCTGTGTGCATCTCCTGTGTTTGTGTGCGTGTATTGTGCTGTGGGTGTCTCCTGAGTGTCTGTGTCTTGTGCCGTGGGCGCCTCCCCCCCATGAGTCTGGGACTGGTGCCAGGCTGTGACAAGTCCCTGGTCTGCGTTGCTGCTGAGTTCTCCGGGCTGCGCCAGAGGCATGTGCTGTGCTGCTCCGTGTTGTGTCTCTCAGTTTGCATGTCAGAGCCTGGCCTGTGTCTCTGTCCGGCTGCATACAAGCTGGGGAGATGTGGGGGGCAGGCCCTAGAGCGTCTCTGGCCTGTCCTGGGCTTTGGAGGGAGGCTGAGCCCACACCCTGGTTACTCTGGGCATTAACTCTGGAAAGAGGGGTTGGGGGGCTGACAGCCAGGCCCGTGGAGTCTTACCTCCCAGGCCCGGATGTCCAGATGCTGGGACTGGGGGAATCTGGGGAGGCAGCTACTTCTCCCTTGTTCTCCCCCTGTCAGGAATGAGATTTGTGTTGTGAAGGATGCTGGGAAATGCACTGCAGGAGGAGGTGCAGGTCTGAGGGGCAGGGAGCCAGAGAGGTGGGGGGCAGGGAGCCCGTGTAGCAGGAGGTGCAGGTCTGAGGGGCAGGGAGCCTGAGAGGTAGGGGGCAGGGAGCCCGTTTAGCAGGAGGTGCAGGTGTGAGGGGCAGGGAGCCAGAGAGGGAGGGGGCGGGGCGCCCGGGGCGCAGGAGGTGCAGGTCTGAGGGGCAGGGAGCCCGAGAGGTGGGGGGCAGGGCACATAACAGCTCCCACCCCAGGAATGGGGGGTCCTGGTCCCTGGGAGCAGAAGTAAAGCAAACTCCAGCAGTTCACCCCTCAACGCTGGGTAAGTACCGGGAAGGGAGAAGTCTGCAGACACAGACAGACAGATGGGGGCATGCAGAGAGGCAGATGGGGGGGTCACAGAGCCAGCCCAGGGGAGGCAGAGAGCAGCTGACATAACAGCTCCCACCCCAGGAATGGGGGGTCCTGGTCCCTGGGAGCAGAAGTAAAGCAAACTCCAGCAGTTCACCCCTCAACGCTGGGTAAGTACCGGGAAGGGAGAAGTCTGCAGACACAGACAGACAGATGGGGGCATGCAGAGAGGCAGATGGGGGGGTCACAGAGCCAGCCCAGGGGAGGCAGAGAGCAGCTG